TTTTTTATTACATATTCGTCCATAAAATCTGGGAAATTTTATTTTGTCAAATTTTATGGTTCAGTATTGGTTTTACTTTTTATGTTATCAGTTAAAACAGGAATTGAGACATAATCACTCACTACTGAGTTATAAAAATAACATTTTGGAATAGATATTACTTTAATATGAGAAATGTATTGAGAGTTTATAATAATAGGTAATTTTCTCTGTACATTATATTTCATTTAAAATATCCAACAAATGTAATAATTACATTTTCATAGTAGAGTGCATATTTGAGCACAATTAACTAATATAAGGAGTAGAGAAAAATATTCACATTCATCATTATTTTGGATTCAGTTGGGGTTCCATTCATATCTATAAAATAGAAAACTTTTGGTTTTCTATTTGCTTGAACTGATTTCTTCTTTTATTGGAATCCTGATTGTCAGTTAATAAATAGAAAGTAGATATTTCTCCAAATATATTTAAATTTCACTCTCATACAGTAGAGATGCACTATAATTCTATTTTTGATATTATTAAGGTGCAAAATATTAAGCTCAAGTTCTCATTAAATCACCCTAAAAACAGATTGTAGACAAAACACCACCCATTTTCGTATGTCTTTTGCATCACAGGACATCAGTCCTTTGTGTATGGTAAATGTCAATCATCCATATGTGAATTTTCTGTAGCAACTTTCTAATACTACTTTGGATTATCTCACTACATTGAATGCTCCTAGCCATCTCCTCCAATCATTATTTGTTAAATACTCATGATGCTGGCTCATTTGGAAAATAAATAGAGCAAACAATTAAGAAACGAGGTCTGATGAAAAATATATAATATATAACCAAGTCAGCTCTAAGTGATTTTTGCATTATTTATAACATCCTTTTCCTCTATGAGCATGAATAAATATGAATTTAAAATATCCCTCTTCAGAACAAGACATACTCATAGTTATTAAAGGTATAATTTCAAGTGTTTTGGTTTAAGATAATATATATCACAACATAAACCAGTATATATGTACTATGCCTACCCAAACATATGTACATACATATATACCTTTAAGATTAATGTTTATTACTAAGACAGCAAGAGACATTAGCACATTCAATATATAAGAAAATTTCTAATATATTAGAAATATATTTATATATTACATAGAATATATACTATATATTAATAGATTAGAAATTATGGTGGGGGAGATGGAAACACAAAATAATTTATTTCTCCTCTTCCATTCTTGAAGAACCACACAGTTTCTTTGACTTTGTAGTGGAATAAAAAGATGAATATGATATAGCCCTAGTATCCACAAAGGACATATTCTGTAATAGGGGGTTGAAGCATGTATACAAAAAACTCATAAAGTATGATAAAAATATAAAATGTAAAGGGCCGAGGGAAAAAGTCATGAGCTCATGCAAAGACTAAGTGCATCACGATGCTTGATTATTTAAATCTATAACCTTATTTTAATGTTGGGGGGTGGGACTCAAGGGAAAGAGGATCTCCCATGTCTAGTCCTAAATGCACACAGTGGAGAAGTACTGGAACGTGTCTCAGGATAGACAATACCACAGGTGTCAGCAGATCTGAATTGTGAACAGCAGAACACACGGGCAATTGTTATATGATGAAATCAACTGGTGTTACCATAAGCACCATGAAGCCCAGCGTGGGTTTGTATGATGTGGGTGGGGTAAGAAGGAACAAATATCCAGTCTTACAGCAGCCAGGTATAAATGGACAGAGGGATGTAAGAAAGAAAATTGAAACTAACACCTGATTACCAATTTTGTCTCCAACTAAAACTATTAATTATGCATTTATATAATCTGAAACAACTTACTTACCCTGCCTAATTATATTGATATTAAGATTATATCAATAATCATATATTCAAATGTATGGAACTTACATATAAAAAAGGGGTTGTGTATGTTTAGCTTTTCTTTCATGTAAAAGAACCTAAAACTATTAATTATGCATTTATATAATCTGAAACAACTTACTTACCCTGCCTAATTATACTGATATTAAGATTATATCAATAATCATATATTCAAACGTATGGAACTTACATATAAAAAAGGGGTTGTGTATGTTTAGCTTTTCTTTCATGTAAAAGAAGTGTATTCCTCACAGACAAGCAAGGTTACCTTAAGATTTAGCATAACTAAAATTCAAATATGTAATTACTAGTTATGGGAGATCCTCTTCCCCCTTAGTTCCTCCCCACCCCAACATTAAAACATACTCACAGATTTTGAAAAAACAAACAGCTTGATGCACTGTCAGTCTTTTCATGGGCTCAGACTGTTTTCTTTGGCTTGCCCTCGTTTTATATTTTTATCATATTTTATAATATGTATTTTATGATAGACCAGGTTTTTAACACAGACATGTACTCCTAAATTTTGAAAGCCATTCCTACTGTAAGAGACGCTAGATTACCAATCAAAACTGATGGGTTACAAATATAAAATGGTTTTATTTTTCCTCTATTATTGCCTTCAAACATGCTTTGTCAAGTTTTCCTTTTCTGTCCCTTAATAGCCTTGGGCATATTTTGAGTATAACAAATCCATTCTAGTTAACACTCCTCTCTGTTGGCCAGAGCCTAGGAACCTGGTCAGCTTTTCATTCATCCTGTCTTCCTCCTCTCCTTCTCCCGGGTGGGATAAAGGCCGCTTGGTCAACTTGTATCTGCTTAAATTTTCCCTGAACTTCACTTTCTATGGCTATGCCTAATAAGCCATTGACATCTTCCACATGGCAGATTTCTAAATACTAAACATCTTCTCAAGGGGAACATCTGATCCTTTAAGGGGGACCCTAACTGGGAAACTCCTAACAACACAAGTCCCTGACAGTTGAAATCTCCTCCAGCTTCATGCTCTTCTAAGATCCCTAAACTCCCATGGCCTCTTGATGCTAAGGCCCTTCTCCTGCTGTATGTCATCTTATTCTGATGGTGTCTACTTTTCTTCCACCCTGCTACCGTTCCTCAA